TTGTTTGAGAGAAAGTTAGTGGAATATCATGGAGTTTGGCCTTTAGAATAAGCTTAATTAGGTTAGCAATAATTGTCAATGCATATGATTAAATTGGTGTGAAATCTGTGCCCTAGGTTTAGTCATATTGATCTGTTTACCAAAGTATTAATAAAATTCTACTTTTGTTTAGTTTTTAGTTTGTTTTCTTTTTCATTAAATTCATTCTTAAAATTATGTTTCATCAAATAGCAGCAAAATAAACTAGTTTGGTACTTGGTAGGTAGTTCTCTTGGAATTCGACACTCGTTTACTCGAGCTTTATTACTTGCACGATTTCGTACACTTGTGAATAGCCTGTCAGGTATCAGTCTTCACTAATCTCTACTTGTTGGGTGGCCATGATGCCTTACTAGAGGCCAATCTTGATCTGTGTGTAGTGAGTTAATTAATTAGTGGTTAATCACGATTACTCACTGCCAACATGATAGGAAGCCTACAACTCACACACATTAGGAGAATTAAGTCAAGAATGTGTTTTGATCAAAGAAATGGTTAAAGGGTATTTTGGTATTTTCACAAAGACAAGTGTAGACAGTAAAAATCTACGGTTATGGAACAAGATGTTCCTATGAGGTTGAGGCCACTAATGATCTGTTGAACTTGCACACACAAAGAAATAAGCGCGAGGCTCACGAAAAACACCGGTGTGGTGTTAACTATAGGCACTCCGATGCTCAAGTCAGCAAGGCTGAATGAGGGTTATTTAGTGAGGGTTAAGGGGAGAAAGGGTTACTAGAGTTTGATTAGACACTAGAACTACAGTAGAGGAGCTAGTTCTTAAGAGTAAGAACTTTAGAAGCTAGTAGGTGGTATTGAATAATGGATCCTTAATGAGAGGCAAGACCCTTGCTTATATACTGGTCATAGGGTCTTCGAGTCCTAGTAGGACTCTAAGTCCATAATGGTAGAGTTCCAGTAAATAGGAAAATCTTGATTTATTTGCCTTTGAAGGAGTGAGCATCCTAATTCATATAAGATTCAAGATCTTGGATGAATTAAGATGAAGATGAAATAGGAAGTAGATGTCTTAGGGTTTAAATAGGATTCTAGACCTTTTGAAGCTAACATGGGCCAATGGGCCTGGACCTTAGTAATTGGAAGGCCCAACACATTAGTTGTTTGGTTGGTGAAATGGGCTGGCCTATGGCATGAATCTTGGCGTAGGCCTAACCAAAGTTGGGTCATGACCCTAAACCATATAGTAGATGTTTTGTGTTTGGGCTTGATAAGGCCCAATGATTTTTTGCCCATACAACTGGGTAATTTGGTAATTCTATATAGGTTGTTGCCTATGTTTATTTCTTAATGAAATAGAATAAATAAGATTACCCAATTAATATTAACTATATTATATTAATATTAATTGAATGAATTAAAATTACTCTAATTAATATTAAATATATATTTATTATATATTAGTATTAATTGAAATAAAATACCTAATTAATATTTAATATATTTAGTATATTAATATATTAATCGGAAACCTATTTAATTCTATCCTAAATTGGATTTAGCATAAAACCAATTAGGAATAGAATTGTATCCTATTCCAAGATGAAATAGGACTTTAAGTTTACTATATAAGCAAACTTAAAATTAGATTTAAAAAAAAAAAAAAAAAAAAAAAAAAAAAAAAAAAAAAAAAGGCTTTTAACACAATTCTCTAAAAGTGGTGTGAGTTATTTTTAGAGAGAGAGAACCCTAACAGTTTTTACCAATCTAGCAATTGGGTGATTTATTCTTCGATTGATCTTGCCGATTCTCTGTGTGGATACTGAAGCACGACTCTACACTTGAATCGGATTCGAAGAACCTATTGTGAATAGTGCTGTAAACAGTGATGCAAACAGTGATGTGAACAGTGCCATGAACAGTGCCAAAAATTAAAGTGAAGGAGCTACCAAACATGAGTAAATCCTTCCATCCTTGAATGTATTTTTAATCATGAAAACAGTAAAATCAATGCCCAGATCCTAGGCTTTAAGGTTTAACTAATTTTTAATTGTTAATTCTACTGCATATGTTCTAATCAAACCTTACAATCCATTTAACACACAATCTCCACAAAAGTATAATCAACAACACTTCAATCAGAACATCCCTCCACAATAGCACAACACTCCAGAATATCATCATCGACACCATTTCTACAAAAATATGCTAGCAACACTCCTCAATAACATACATATTCCAAGAAAACAAAAAATCAATCAGCATTCCCCAACTTAAAATGTCATTGTCCTCAATGACTCACAACTATAAACATTCTCCCCAAATTAACATTAAATGATCTCAAATGAAAATAAATCAATAACAATTAAAATAGTCCAACACATTTGAGAACATATCAAACAATAGCAACATATAAGGTGTAGACATACAACTTGAGGGACAATGATGGAGTTGTTATGGGGGTGCAGAGCATGTTTAGGAGTAGTCCTCGACTAGTCGATATGAGTTTCCAATCATTGCACACATGATTATTCCTGCAAAGACAAAAACAACAAAGACATCAAAGCAATAAAAACATATTTATAAAGGTGGGTTACCTCCCACATGCGCTAAGTTTGAAGTCTTAAGCTACACATGATGCGAACAGAAAAGTGCAAGGTGGTTGAATCGTTGGTGGTTCGTTACCTGGCCCTTGCAATTCATCAACAAGTAGGGTCTCATGAGGTCCCAAGAAGGCATATTTGAACTTAATACACCTATTCCGTGTGCACAAGTCGTTTAAGATCTTAGCATAGGCAGGTATGTGCTTAATGATATCTAGAAGTGGAATACCAATCGGCCATTGTCTAAACAACTTGACCATTTCCCCCATCCTAGTGTTTTTCTTAAAACTGGATTCATTATGTGACTCTAGGTATTGAGGAAAAGGTGTTGTCGGCAAGTAAGATGCAGGGATGGTACTTTCTCCCCCAACTTCCTCATTCTCATGTATCGGCGCATCTAACTCTATGGTTGGTTCTCTCTCACCCCTCTCGGCTTGGTTTCCCTCTAAGTTCTCTTTCTTTCCAACCTCAATATATAATTCCCTCTTAGGCCTAGCTAGCTCTTGGCTGCTTTGAAGAGTCATCGCGACCTTAGCTTATTGATGATACCCCACTTGGTGAGGTGCACCACTAGGATTACCTACAACTTGACTCAGCACATGACCTTCATCTCTCCTATATATTAACCGCTTAAGCTATTTGACCAATTTGGGTCTCTAGCTTACTAATAGATTGAGAATGAGAATGTATCAATTTGGTACTTTGCTCTAATTCTTGGAACCTAGCGTTCATGTCTTCTATTTGTTCCTTGCATGGTTTGGAGCATGTCAGCTTTATGTTCTTTCATGGTTTAGAGCATTTGAGCCATCGTTGATTCCAATGAATCGGGCACTGGAGTGGGCTGCTAGGCAGGGGATGGTTTGACCGAATACATGTCCCAATAATTGCTCTACTGATTGAAAAAACTATATGGCATATTATGTATTGGGAGGCTGTGTTTAAGGGAAGATATTGAGAGAACTGGGTTAACTTGTAACTATAACAAACATAGTGGATTGTTCTACAATTCTAACAAACTTCATGTAAATGACGACGTTTTGACTAATGTTATAAAGTCCTGCGTGTGTCTTCTTCCAGTTTAACACAAAATACAAAACTACTTTACCAAAATTTCTAGAAGTTTTCTTCTTTGTTTTTCTTCTATATTTTTCATGACTTTTTCTTGAACATTCTTGAATCTCAACTTTATGGGAGACATTCTGAGGCTATTCTTGCTTCCAGGCAAAATTAGGATGGTTATGCCACCCATTATTGAATGTGTTCGAGTACGAATCATTTCATTTCAGGAAACCTTATGCAGCTTGCACTTGCTCCTCAAAAGAGTCAGGAGTTGGTTCCTCAAATGTGTACTCAACAACTAAAGGTTGTGAAGGCATAGCAAATACATACTGACTTGTCCTAATAGGTGGTGGTTGCCAAGAAGCTTGCCTTTGCATGGATATGAACTTTCAAATTGGTAGGCTAAAGACTTCAACCTTATAGTTTATATCTCTTCTCTTTAAATTAAGAGTAATTTTAAAATTTAAGATAACAAACATCTTATAGTTTATTTTTAAAATTGACCTATAAGTAATTGTAGAGGTGGGCATTTGGGACTGAGTCCAAAAACCCAACCCAAAAACCCGGTCCTAGGATCGGTCCTTGAGAGGACCGGTCTTAGGAGGCCTGATTCCAAAACGGGACCAAGCCTAACAAAGAGGGCCCGGTCCCTCCACTGGGCCCTCCTCCAAGGCTCGGGACTGGGCCCACATCTTTTTACATATTTTCGTTTTAGTCCCTTGTACAATGACATAAAACCCCTTATAAATTTTGAAATAACATAAATTATAGGGGTTAAAAGAAAATTTTACAAAATGTATTAAAAAAAAAAAAATTTCCAGGCCCTAAAAAATTTATAAATTTTACCTCTAAAAAATACTAAAAACCCCCTACAAAATTTCGTTTCGTCCCTTAAATATAAAAAAAATTAGGGGAGAAATTTTTTTTCAGGCCCATAGGACCGATCCTAGGCCCATAGGACCAGTCCTAGGGACTGGTCTAGGTCCTAGAATTACTCATGGGCCTGGGATCGGTCCCAAGCCCATGAGCAACTGGTCCCATTTGGGACCAGTCCCAAACGGGCCCAGGCCTGGGCCTGCTTGGGATTGGTCCTTGACGAGCTCTAAGTAATTGTGTGATCCTAAACGAAGCCTAAGAAAGAAGATATTGTTTGATTGTAAACTAAGAGAATCATGGAATAATAAATGTGGTTAATCAAATGGAGTAATAAGAATTGAATATCAATGCTTGTTGTTGTCCGTTTTCTATCTTATCTTTTTATTACTATTATATGTTGTTAATATTATTTAATTTAGAGTTTGAGCCCAGTAAATAAAAAATTCTGGTTCCATCCTTGTTATTATGATCGTTACTTTTTGGTATTATTGAAAGAAGAATTGAGTATGTTCACAAGTAATTAAGAATTGAGTTTACAAGAAGGATTAGATGAGAGACTAGTGAACCAAATGGAGTCACTAGCAAAAGGCTGGTCATTTTCATTCCTATGCCATGTCCAGAGTGCATGGCTTTCATTCATCACTTCCAGTTGGCCGTGTCCAAAGCTTGCCTCCCTGAATACTGATATTTCTGGCTTTGGCTCCATAAACCTGATAAATGTACAAAATTAGCGAACATTCATTCTCTTTAGTTAACATCAACAATATGGGATTCTTGTCAAATTATTTTTTTGTTAATTAGTAAGGAAAAAGTATTGTAAAAGAAAACAAAGAAGCTAATTACTTACAATACTTGTTCCTTACTAATTCAAACTTACTTGCTGGCAAGGCCTTCACGGTTGCCACCATCACCAATGGTTATATGTACTGGACCACAATTGTTAGCTTTCCCATTGAAGACATGAGTCTAAAATTGACACACATAGAGAAGCATTAATCAATAGTAAGGTTTATTTATACACCCAGATTTTGGAAACTATTAAAAAGCATTAAACAATTGTTAGCTTTATAATTATTGAAAATCCCCTTAAGAAAAGGGAATTTTTTAATAATTTAAATGGGGTATCTAAAAATTATAGGGATTATTTTATAGTTTTTGTCAAGGTAGGTATGCTCATATTAAACAATCCTAGAAGCCCTTTTAAAAAGTTCATAAATGAAGATGTTGGATGTTGAAGAACAAGGAATAGGAAGCTTACAAAACGCTCATAGGCATGGACATGGCCAGCAAAAACAATATCAACCCGAGCCTCATAAAGTAACTCTTCCATAGCTTTCTTCATTTCAACTGATTCATTCTCACCCTGATGAGCAGTATTTGAATTGTACCAAGGTGCATGAATAACAACAACTATCCATGGAGTTATTTTCCTATCAATGTTCTTCAAATCTTGCTCTAACCATTTGTATTGCTCCGAATTGGGTTCAAAATCAGTGTAAGATCCTAACATAACAACATGCACACCTGCAGTATTGAATGAGTAGTAAAGATTTGAAGTGGAACCACTTTCTTCAAATGGCATGCGCCATCTTGAATTATAAGAAGTGAAAGGAGTGTTATGAAATAGAGGTATTCTTTCAATCTCGTGGTTGCCTTGAGTCACCATCCAGGGGCGTTGGCTGGCTAATGGTTCCACCAGGCGCCCAAATGAATCCCATAAAGGTTGAACAAAATCAGCATATGATAAATCTCCTGGAAGTAGCAAGATGTCGTAGTTGGATTTTGCTATTTGTTGTAAGGTTGAGTTGGTCCATCCAGTCTGACCAAGATCACCTGTACAAATTAACAGAGAATGTCTTTGAGCATTTTGTCGAAGAGATCAATGTCCTAACCTTTCAAATACTATGAAATACCCCTGTTCAACTAATAACTGCTAATTAAAACAAATAAAATAAATTAAGCAACATTACCTACGACAACAAATTTGATTGGAAGCTCAGAGGGTGGGGTTTCGACAGTGAATTCGGTGTCAGAAGAGCCACATTGGTAGTAATATGTTGTATTGGGCTTTAAGGGACCAATAACAACATCATGGATTTGACCTGACTTGTAAAGCATATAACGATACGATGTCATATCACCATTAGCAGAAAACGGGTAATCTCCTGGAGATGTACCATATTTTAAAGTTGCAGCAGATTCACTCTTGGTAATCCATGATACTCTTATTTTGTCTTCACCAACTAGAGATATATGCACCTGCATGCAATTCCAGATGAAAATGATATATTGACAATAAATATTTTTTAAAGATAAATACGTTAAAGAAACCCATGGAAAGTTTGGTAAAATAGCATAATCTTATCTTTGTTTTTATTGAGTTTCAGATATCAGGTGGATTCTTTTAAATTGAAAGGAAGTAGAGATGGTGATTGTGAAAAGGATATAAAGGCATATACTTGATTAGAAGATAGATAGCAAATTTAATATTCATTTTCTACAACATTGTTATCATCATATGGAGTCAAATCTTTAATCATTTCTAAATTCATGATATGAATGACCAATTAATAATAAACGTTTTAATCACAGAGAAAATATTAATTTAATTTAAGTATCAGAGAAGATTGACTTTATAAGATACATTCATTCTGCCTAACAATATCCATCATCAAATTGACCAATTTCTTTCCCAACCATATCAACCAAACACTCTCCTAATTTCCATTTTCTTACATTTTACCCTTTCTTAATATTACAATTTCTCACCATAAACAATAATATTTTCACTCTAATTAAGGAAATATTTACACTTACTATTTGATTTAATATTTTTTCATTAAATATTTTAAATACACTTACCATTTTAACCTGAATTCTAAAAATGAATTTGGCTTGTTAGTTAAGAGTAATACAATTAATATCTCAAATTTTACATCTCAAATGATGTGTCACCAAATATGTCATTGTTATCTTAATAGAATACTATTATTGATCTGATAAGTTTTGGAAAGAACAATATTAAAATGCATACTACGTTAAAACTTATCTTTTCAGCTTTCGTTTTTCATATTTCAAGAAAGAAAATTTATATTAGAAAAAAAAAAAAAAAAAAAACAATTCTCTAGAATTTCAAGTTTTCAATTCACAAAATAATAATAATAAAAAAGGATCATACACGAAAATACAGACAAGGAGGAGTTTCCCATAATATCTAATAATTACAAAACCTAAATGAAACCAAAACACAGAAACTAATTGGACCAAAGCAAATACCTGTTGTGGAGATGAAGAACTGGAACGTAATTGGTTCAAAAAAACGAGGTGACGAGCGGGTGGGCGATCATAAGAAAGAGCAGTGATAGATAAAAATACAAACAGAAACGCTAACATGAAATGAAGAGGTTGTAGTTGAAGCAACATGGTGGGCGTCACGGGTGGCAGATCAAGAGCTTGAAGGAATCTAAAGAAGAAGATTTACCTCTCTCTCTCTCTCTCTCTCATGAAAATTTATAGGGGCTTTCTTCCCAGTATGGAATATGGATACAGATTTTCAAAATGATTCTTGTGGGGATTTTTATATATATTCTCTTTAGTCCTTGTGGTTTCTGTTTATCATTTTTAGTCTAGTAGTTTCAAATATTATAATATTGGTCTTTCTTGTTTCAAATTACGCCTTTTTAGTCATTTGGCTTAATACAAGGTTAGTTAACTGTTACATTTATGTTTGAAATGTGTTTTTCATTTTTAAGTTTTACTTATAATTTTGTTATGCATAATGCATAATTTTTATTATTAGTATATATATAATTTTATTACACTAATGATGTTTAATATAATTTTAATAACTTTGAATAAGGTGTATTTTTTTCTTTTCAATATAAAATTTTCAATTAAGCTTTTATTTAGTCAAAAGACTAAAACAGTAATAATTTGAAATGAGAAGGGCCAAAATAACATTTGAAACTTTGGACTAAAATAGGAAACTGAAGCAACAAGGATGAAAAAGAATTGTCTTATTTCTTGGTCATAACCTTAACGTACTTGCAGACAAAATATGTGTCTTTTGGATTGACAAGACACGTGTATAAAGAAAGCATTTCTACTCCAGAATTTGTTAATTGGTTTGTTTTTTTGTTTGCAAGGTTTCGTTACGGTTTCGGTGCCCTTTCAACTCTTAGGGAGCGTTTAGTTCAGGGAATATTGGATTACTAAGAATATTGGATTACTAGAATCTTATATTACCTTGAAGATTACTGAGAATTTTTAAGAAAATATGTTTGGTTAGTTGGTAGGTATGTTATATTAATATGTTTGATTAGGGGGAATAAATTGGTGGATATGTTATTTAAATTACTAAATTGGCCTCTTTTTAAATATTAATATAATAATATTTTTATTATTAACTTTTGAATAATTTCTTTTAACCCCCAATATTTTAGATTTAGCTAAACCACCCTCTCTTATATAAAAATTTAATTTATGACAAAATCACCCCCAACCACACCCCCTTCCGCCGCCTGCCGCCTGCCGCCACTGCAAACCACCGTCGAAAGTCTCTAAAAGTCACCGGGAGTAGCTCACAGTGACCATGAGGCTTCGTTGATGGCCGAAAACGGCCATATAAAGCCATATCTGGCCGTTAACGGCTAGATCCTTGGCCATTATCGGCTAGATCTGGGTGAGATCTGGCAGTTAACGGCTGGATCTATTCTGTCGGAATAGATCTAGCCATTAACGGCCAGGTCCATGGCCATTAACGGCCAGATCTCGCTTAGATCTAGCCTGATATGGCCGTTTTTTGCTATCAATATGGCCAGAAACGGCCATATTGGAGCCTCCCAGTGAATCTCGGTCATTTTTAGGGACTCCGACGACTTTTCGGCAATGATCCGTGGTGGTTGGCGCGTTACCAGCAGTGGTGGCTGGGTGGCGGTGGCGGTCTGTAATTTGTTTTAAATATAAGGGCATTATTGTCCAAAAACTTAATTAAACAAGGGTAAAATTGAAATGGTATATTAATGTAAATTTATTTTAAAACAGGGGCATTATTGTCCAAAATTTTTATTAATAAGGGATAAAATTGTAACAAAAATAAGATTACCTTGGTAATCTTACAATACCTAAGAAAATGAAAATAATCAGATTATTTCCAATATTACCAACAGTAATAACTATTGGTAAAGCAAGATTACCGAAATCTTATATTACTTGACAACCAAACATGGTAATAAAGTAATATAAGATGACATAACTCCAGTAATCTTTTATTACCTCCAACCAAACGCCCCCTTCTAGTTTTGTGGAGTTTGAATCTAAACTGACTTATGACTTAGTTGGATGAACTCTATGAAACCATTATATCACGTTGGCCTTCCATGTTTTACCCTCGAATTGGTGTCTCTGCCAATGTTTTGAAGAGTAATGCTACCTTTACACCACCCTTTACACCATTTTCATTACACCATGACTATTTTACTAATAATAATTTTATTATAATATTAAAAATTCAAAATAATTAAAAAATTGTGTGGATGTGGCATATGCCACATCATGATGTAATGAAAATGGTGTAAATAGTGGTGTAAAGGTAGCATTACTCATGTTTTGAAACCAGGACCGGACCAACCAATCAGACAGGGTTTTGTTCAAGACTCTGGTTCACTAATACAATAAAATCAGATTTATTATTTAGACCATTTTAAACCGCTGTTGGACCGACGGAATGGTGCCAGACCGTCGGTCCAACCGGCCCAGCAGCAAATCCGGTCCACAATAAATCAAAATTCCTAAAACCATTTTACCCTATCTCTCCTTCTTCATTCAACAATTTCAACTTCGAAATAGCTTCAGCCTTCAGAGTTCAACTCTTATCTCTTACCAAAGAAACTGATTTTGTTGTTCGATTGAGTTAAAACAAAAACACCCTAAATAAAAACAAACTCACATGTTCGGATTGTGTGAGAGCATTGAGACAACAAACACCATCGATTCAAACCCATTTCTCTTGCAATTCTATATATCCAGGTTTTATGCGTGACTTGTGGGCAAGTTGCTTTTTTTTGTTTTTGTTTTGTTTTCAAAAGTTTGAAGCAAACAAAACCCGCAATTCAAAATTGTAACTTGATGATATGCGAGGGAACTAGGCCTTGAAAATCTCATCTGTAAATAACAGAATTCCTACGGGATGATATGCGAGGGAACTAGGCCTTGAAAATCTCATATGTAAATAGCAGAATTCCTACGCGATGATATGCGAAGGAACTAGGCCTTGAAAATCTCATATGTAAATAGCAGAATTCCTACGGGATTGTATGGTTAGAAAAGGAATGAGAGACTAATTCAGGCTACGCTCAGGTTTCACTTGGAATGCTCTAATATTAGGCTTTTTTGTACTAATTGTTATGTATCATTCCATCCTGTTAGTCTCCCTTTATATAGTGTAGAGTGAGTTTGAGGAAAATACATTTCTTACCATAGTATGACTTTGAATAGGAAAGAGATTGTGAGAATTTCAGGAGAATGTGGGATCTTTTTCCCTTCTTGGATCATATATTGTCTCCATTCACTTCCTAATTTGAATAAACTTCCTTATTCCCTCATATTCCTCATTTAATAATAATTCTTTTTCTTATTTTAGGGAATATCTCTTAGATTATTTACTTAGGGTGCAAGTAATATCCTTTAGAGAAATTATATTTTTGCCCTTGGGAAAATTTGGGCACTACGTGATCTTGTTGGTGATCGTTTTGATTATGATTTTATAAGGCAACAATATGCCCATTGTTGAGGTTCACTGACTATGTCCTTGTAGCAATAGTTTGGGCGGCCAGCCAGTTATAAATTTCAGTACGTATTTCACTACTCATATTCTTGTACTGATCTAGGAGAAACCCTACCCTTAAGGGCTCAAATGTGCTCGGATCAATAAGTCGTTGGTTGTTACAGGATAGAAGAGTTATTGGTGCAACAATCACACCTAGAGGGTTTCCAGTCAAGAAGATGTTGCCAGTGTTGGCAAAGGTCATTCTAGCGTTCAAGGCCTCTTTTTCCTTGGTTGTCTTTTTTCGGCAAAATGTGTGGTCACCATGTTGTTGATATGACTTTTTGTTTGACTTTCCTACTAATGGAGCCAATTGTTGATGCTAATTTTCACACCAAATTAGAAGTCACAACTTGCCCTTGGATTGGTGTCTTTGGAGTCATGTTGCCTCTGGAGTTGTCCTTGACTACAGCGCTTGTCCTTATTGCTGTATAAAATAGCAGAGTTCCTATGAGATTGTAAGGTTAGAAAAAGAATGAAAGGCTGATTTAGGCTATAGTCAGGTTTCACTTGGAATGCTTTAATATGAGGCTTTTTTGTATGAATTGTTATGTATCATTCCCACTGCTTTAAAATTCGGACCAGACTAGTTGGTTAGACCGGTCTAATCATGACTTGATAGCCTCTTCGGCCCGGTTCAGGTTTTAGGGGGTTTCTACTATATTTCAAACTTGTTGGGACTAACTTGTAATTTTTAGGGGCAGTTTTACAATATTTCAAAAATGTAGGACTAATAGTACTTTTATTTGGGCATTTTTGAAATAAATGAAAATTTTAGGGGTATTTTTGTAATGTACTAAACTTTAAGGACTAACGTAATTTTTTAAAAATATTTTGTTGTTGACATCATCGGTCCAACTGGTTGGATGGTTGACCTGTGACCCGATTACCGTTCTAAGTCTCATAACATGTCAGGTTTTAAAACAATGATCATTCCATGCTATTAGCCTCCCTTTATGTAGTGAAGTAGAGAGAGTTTAAGGAAAATACCATCCTTACCATAGTAGGACTTTGAATAGGAAAGGGATTGTGAGAATTTTAGGAGTATGTGAGATTTTATTCTTTTCTTTAATATTATCTTGTCCACATTCACTTCCTAATTTGAATAAACTTCCTTATTCCCTTAGGGTCCGCATGGGAGTTTCATGGTAGCGGTTATGAGGGTAAACCACTGTAACGATTTTGAGGGTAAACCATCATAGCGGTTTTGAGGGGTTTTTAGTAGCGGTTTTTAAAACACCCAACCTGTGCTTGGAAGTTTATTTTCTAGCAGTTTTAACAGTTTTTTAAAATGATAAATTTACATATATGCCCATAAAAATACCCCAACTCTAACTAGTACTTTCGAGTTTTGTTTTTTCAATTTTAAGTAAGAGTTCTTTATTTGTTTTCTACGTATTAGTATTTTATAACTTCAAATGTGATAAAGTTTTCTTATCATTCTTCGCCATTCTTTGCAGCATATGGAATGATTGAAAAATTGTAACTCTACTTCTCCAAGAAAGCATCTAAAAATGAGATTTTAATAATTTTTTAATTTTTTTTTAATTTTTATGATTGCTTAAAATTGTTT